ATGTCTCTCTCTCAGTATAGTTGCCCATGTCATCACGTCACAAAGTGAGTCCTGTGGCACTGGAGTCCTCGCAAAGGATGGCCGGCAGCATCCTCTGGCAGTGTCTCGAGTGGGCCTTGTCCACATGGCCCAGTCGGTCATCACTTTGCAAAGGATGGCCGGCAGCATCCTCTGGCAGTGTCTCGAGTGGGCCTTGTCCACATGGCCCAGTCATGGTCATCACTGGTTTCTGGTTGTACAGTGCCATAGTTCATCCGTAAAGAGCAGAGAATCCCACACATGGGGATTAAGTGTCCTGATTTTCGAGCTCGCATTGTCTTTGCCCTGTATTTGTAGACTTACAGTGCATCGAGGAAGTGGGCCTCTTTTTTGTCTTTGTCTTTGTAGTATAAACCCTATCAAATTTCAGGTTGATTGGTTGGTTTCCTTATAGGTCCTCTGCTTCAGCCGCTGCAAGTGGAAAATGCACCAGGAGCATGTGCCCACTCTGACATTCAGGAAAGTTGTTCATTTAGTATTTGTCTTCATTCTTTTGTGGGTTTCTGCCACCACTAACGCCCTCTCAGGCCCATGCTCAACACTTTTCCTTTGCAAATCCACTTTTCCAGTTCACTGGGCAAACCAAAATGAAATTTTAAAAAAGATTATTCTTGATGCTTCTTTGTACAACATTATAGTCGCTGTAAACTAAAAGTTTAGGGCTGGGTGTAGCTCCAGTGATAGGAAACTTATGTAGCATGCATGAGGCCCTGGATTTAATCCCCAGCACCAAAAGAAGTATTAATAACAAAATGAGAGTCTAAGATTATGCATTTTTTTACCTTAAGGATGTGCTTGCGCTGTTTATGGTCTGTGCAGTGTTGCACATATGTTGGGTGTGGTGCTCACACTGTCACTTTGTCTCCTGCAGGGGAGAGAGTGTATTTGTGTTATAGATATGGGCAGTACATAGGTACGTGTGTATACACATGAATATTCACACTTGGATTTTGTTAGGTTTTCCAAATGAATGTCACAGTATACACTCTTTTTTTTTGTTTTAATTACAGCCCATGACCTTTGCTAAATTTGGGCAGATAGACTGCCCATTGTTAAAGTGAATTCTGTCTGGCATCTCAAGCTGTATAGATTTATGGCAGCCACTTAGCTTGTGGGACATTTGTCTCATTGAGGTGAACGCTTGCCAGAATCCCACAGTGCAGTGTGTACAGGGTAAGTGTGGAGTCCCACGCTGCTGTGTGATGGGCGTGGCCATGTGTGGGGTCACAGCCTGGGGTCATGCTGCAGCCTTATGTTGGCCTGGGATCTCAAGGCCTTCTCTTAGAAATGCATTATGAGATTTGATTTTGTCTTGTGAGGTTTCAGGAAACCTATAACTAATGGATGCAGTTTGACTTTTGTTGTTTTTTTATAATGCTGGGAATTGAACCCAGGGCTTCATTGGAGTTTCTTCACTATCTGGCTCTAGCAATTGGAAGGTGTTTTTGAGCAAATAATTCTCAGTCCTCTGGGCTTGCTGACTGAGGGCCTGACACCTCAGCGTGATGGGCGCCCTGGCAGGCCCTGGGCTGGCCCTCTGTGGTCGGGGGTGTGGCAAAGGCAGCTCCATTGTGTGGGGAGGTCCAGTCATCTCTCAGCTGCCCAAGCCCGTCCCTAACGGTCAGCCTAAAGCTGTGAGAAGGACAAAATGTGGGGATGGGGAAGGTGGCCAGTCCCCTTCTTCTCAAGCTGCACTTGTGATTTTCTTGTGTGGACTGAGGACAGAAGTGAGAGAACCGAGTGGCTGCTCCTCTTCTGCACAGCTCAGTTGAGATGGTCATCATGTGGGTCCCCTCCTTTCCTGAGTTCTGGATTTTGGCAGCTCCATCGCTGTGTGCCCCACCTGCTGTTTTCTGTGCCCTGTCCCAGGAGGCCCTGGCTGCTCATCCTGTGATGGGAGTTGCAGGTGCAGAGCACAGGTGTGGCAGTCAGGTGGCCATGTCAGTGGTAGCCATGGTCTGTTGCTCCTGTGGGTCGGGGAGGGGAGCTAGGAAGCAGACCTGTGGTCCTCCCTGCCTGTGTGAGCATTCTGCCGCCCTGCAGTGTCCCCCTACCAGGGCACAGAAGATATGCCCAGCATTGTGCCCTGTCGGAGTGGTCAGAGGGGCTGGAGTGTTCTGTGTTGCCTTGACAAGAACTTCAGCTTAGAAAGTTTTACATTGAACTTTGCTTTGCTTTTCCTTGCAGTGAGAAATGTGAGGTTTTGGTGTACAGTGCAAAGGAAAGTGAAGATGTAGACAAGGTAAGAAAAGGGCTGACGAGGTGATGAACGTGTTTCAGTCTGATTCATGTGTAATGTTCTTGCAAATGTGACGATCCGTCCCATTCCTATTGGTTTTAGGAACAGTATTTCATAGTCCAAAAGTAGTGTCCACCCAGCCCCTTACCATCACCTGTTCTTAATGCTTTTTTGGCATCCTGTGTTTAGCTGCTTTTTTTGTTATGATTTTTAAAAAATAATTTAGGTTGCTGTGATCTTAAATTATAGATGGTAAAGATACAAAGAGCCTTGTATCAACATTTTTATTAAGTGTGTGATAAAATTTAAACCTGGTTTATTAATGGGAAGGATTTACTTATTTAAAAGAGAATGGCTTTTCTTTCTCAAGTCTGTGCATTTGGTGAAATTCCAGTCAGTCTCAGTGGAGTTTTGAGGAAATTTAATGAGTAATTGCCAAAATTTCTGAGAAAGAATAAATAATTGAGGACCTTTGTCCTCCAAAATACAAAAGCATATTATGAAATATAGCCGTAAAAGCACTGTGGTATCAGTGCAAGAATTAATAAATGTCCTGGAGGAACAAAACAGTTTAGAAACAGGGCTGTGTGCCTAAGCTTGGCAAAGTCAGTTCCTTAAAGATAGTAAAAAATGAAGTGGGGGAAATGGATTGTTTCTTAAATGGTATGGAGGCAACTGAATGTCCATTGGATAATGGCACAAGGTCTCTATTATAGATAAGCATAAATTACTAAAAAACATTCCAAGCACCAAAAGGCACAGAAACTGGAGTACGGTGTGGCTTGTAGGCAGGAGCATGCAGAGCCAGAACAGAGTGGAACAGCAAGGCACCTGCCCTCCTCACAGGAGCCAGGAGCCAGAGCAGGCCGAGTTCTTCCAGCAGGGGGCAGGCTTCTCCTTTCCGATGGAGCCTGCTCCAAAGAGGCTGCTGCGTCCTGCTCTGGGAATTCTTTGGAGACCTTGCCTTGTTCTCCTTGGACTGAGTGAATTACATTTGACTCCCTTGCCACCCTGTCTCTGTAATGCTGGGGTTTTGGGGGTTTTTTGTTTGTTTGTTTGTTTTTTTGAGGCAGATTTATTTTTGTGCCTCTTGACAGACTGTTTAGAAGGCATGTATCTTGGAGGAATCATGCATTTTGTATCTAAGACTCCCGAGTCCCTTACTAAGTGTGCTTGCATTCTGGGAACAAGAGAGAGGTAAGTGTTGAGTGTCTTGGGAAAGGATGGGAAGTCTGCCTCTCCGGAGGCCAGCCCGGAGCTGGGAGCCCAAATGTCGGGTCTACCAGACCCCGCACTTTTGAGGCTCGGCCTTGCCTTCTAGAGTGAGCCTGGCTGGGAAGAAGCAAGTAGCCCACCCCGCTCACAAACTTCCTGTATTCCTTTTCCACTCTGTCCTCCAGGCTGCACAGTGATCTCTGCACTGCCTGGTCCTGGAGCGGTGCCATCCTGTCACTTCTTGGGGTTACGACCATAACATTTTCTTTGAGTTTGGTGTGTGCCAGATACTCGTAACCTACAGTGTGACCTCATTCAAACCCCTAAAGTGGGGCTGCCCGTTTAAATCGAACCCTTCCTTCCTTAGGTGGTGGAGGACATTGAGTACCTCAGTTTGGACAAAGGACCTTGGCTGAAGCAGGAGGACCCCAGCCTCCATAACCTGCGGATGCGGTGAGTTCCCTGACTCTGGACTCCACATGTTGGATCTGCTGGTGTGCCATAGTTAGGGGTCACTAGCACCTCCCAGTACTGAGGTGTATTTCCTTGTCCCTTTCAAACAGCTCTTGAATTCTCTAATCAGATCATTCCTTAATTGATTGCCATCATTAAGTCAAACAGATACTTTAATTCCGCTATGTGTTAGGCAGTCTTGTAACTTTCAAGGCTGTAGTATCAAATAAAATTCTGTTCTAATCAAGGATGAATCCTAGTGGAGAGGAGTACACAAGTAGAAAGAACTCTGTGGTCATGAAGGCTTTGCAGGGCAGTAGGCCGAGTCATGAGATCGTGCATGGCTGGGGTCCAAGTGGCCAAGGGCCCTGAAGCCACCAGAGACCTCCCATGCAGAGCCCAGGTGAAGCCAGGGCCAGGCATTGCCCAAGTGAAGAGGGTCAGGGCGGCAGCAGGTGGAGAGGCTCATGGGGAGGTGACCAGCTGTCTGTCCCTGTTGATCCCCTACTGCTGGACTGTCCATTTTGGCTGCTGAAGTCCACCTCATCAGTACCAACGTTGCCTGTTTCTCCTTGGAGTTCTGTTAGTTCTCATCCTTGTGTTTTAGGGTTAGGTACAGGTGTGTTTGGGGTTATGTCGTCTTAGTATGTAATGCCCCTGTGTATCCCTGATGTTTTCCTTTATACTGAGGTCTGCTGTCTGCTCCTGCTTCTGATTAATGTGGGTGTGGTGTATCTTTTTCCATCCCTTTAACTTTGCTAAGTCTTATTTTCTTATAAACAGTAGATAGTTGGGTCTTTGTTTTGTTTTTTTTATTAAACTGTGATAATCTCTACTCATTGGTGTATTTGGACTTCACATTTGAAGTGAGTCTGATGTATGTGAATTCATTTTGCCTATATTTATTTCTGGTTTTGTTTTGTTTGGTGTTGCTGGGGATCGAACCTAGCTGCTGCTGCATTCCCAGCCCTTTCTCACTATTTATTTTGAGGCAGGTTCCCATTAGCTTACTAAGTGGCCCAAGCTGCGCTCAGACTGGTGACTTCCTGCCTCAGCTCTCCAGAGTGCTGTGATTTCAGGTGTGCAGCAGCACACTCAGCTGCCTTCCCTGGATGTGACTGAGCATTTTAGAGAGGCCCTCTTGATGTCCTCTCTTAATATACCAATTCCTTAGAAAGTGCTGCAGTACAGTGTTCCTGTCTCTAAGAGAAGGACAGTGGCCCTCCATAGCCTCAGGTTCCGTATACACAGACTCATCCACCTTTGGATAAGAATATTCCAGAAAAATTGTGGTAGCCCTGAACACGTATGGACTTTTTTCTTGTCGTTCCTTAGACCGTATTGTGTGACATTGTGTACATGGTATTTACGCTGTATCAGGCATCATGAGGAATCTAGGGATTCTTGCAGATGTACTGGAGGATGGCGTGGTTACATGGGAATTCCCCGCCTTTTTGATGAGGGTGCTTAAGCATCTTCAGATTTGGGCACCCACGGAGTCCTGGAACCAGTCCCCTGTGGATACTAAAGGATGCCTGTAATTGGTTTTCAGCTTTTTTGGTTGTGAAAACAGGAGTGACAGATTCCAAGCTCTTTATTTGTTAGAGCTGAAACTGTCGGTCTCTTCTGTTTGTCTAGACCAGTGATGGTGAACCTTTTAGAGCTTTCAGTGGTACAAACAGCCCACTGCAGCGCATGTGCTATAGATTTGCCACCACTGGTCTAGACGTATGTCTGCGTCTGTTGGTGAATTTACCAGAGAGATCCATTGTACTCTGCCATTCTGAACCGTGCTAAGCACCCTTCCTTTCTTGTAACTGCTTGCCTGCCTTCTCATCTGAAATTGTGCAGTCACCACCATACAATGGGGCTGTGTCCGGAGGATGTGCAGGAGCATTTCCTCCACTTACAGTGAGGAGACTGTAGCTTTGGAGCTCCCGGGTGACCCCGGCTGGTGCTCTGCAGGACATGGTGCCATGAGCTGCATGCATCTGTTCAGACTTGAATCCTGGGGACCCAGACTCCTCGATCCGCTGTACCCCAGCCCGAAGCCTCCTCTCCCAGAGTCACATGCTGCAGGTCACTGTGTTCTTTATTTTGCTCTCTGTCTCCTGTCACTCCAGCTCTGCCCTGCACACCCCATCTCATGAACACCCCTCAGGTTGCTTGTCACTGATGTCGCAGTGACCCCTTTCTTTCTGGCAGCGTGTGTCAGTAGCTCATCTCGGTCTGGTCCAGATTCAGTTCCTTTCAGTTGACTCAGACCTGGGGTATCTGCCGTGGTTGCACTTCTCCTGGGACGCCCTGCCTGCTTTAGCCCCTTCTTCCTCTCTCTCTCTCTCCCTGAAGCTTCCTCTTAGCTCTTCTGCAGTACTATTTATGTGTGTGTGTGGCCCTGTCTGTCATTATTGACTACTGCTGGGCAGAGTGTGACTGTCGCATAAGGAAAGTGACTTCCCTGAAGCCCTAACACCCTAACACACTGACTGAGACTAGAGAATGTCTTTTTGACCTCCTAGGATAATACCATGTCATTTTCGAAGTACAACCTGAAATGTGCATTGATTTAATTATGCAGCATGTTCAAGATTCATGTCTTAAAATCGTAATTTTAGTAATTATGTAGTTACATGGTAGCATAGAGAAGGATCCTGTAATTCTCCCAGAGTTTATAAATCATAGCATTCAATTAATTAGTTTGCTATGGGGTTTTCCTTTCCTTTTCCTCATTTTTTTATTGCCCCCACCCCTGTTTCATAACTTTTTACAATGGTAATTTTGATTATTTTCATTTGACTCCCATTTCTTAAGTGAAAATTATAACCAATTTTCTGAGGTAATTATTGTAAACATGCCATTTACCAGTTATGCTCATTTTGTGTACAACCTGAGCAAATTATTGGTTAGAACATTTTGTACTATCTCAGTTACATGTGTCAGTGTGTAATTATGTGTGTGTGCATGCTCACACTAAGTGGCAGTGACTGTGTTCTCAGTCTTGACAGTGTTTTGTGCTCATGTTCATGGCCCATGACTGACTGGTGCCTCCAGGGATGGCGTCAGCCCTGAGGGTCGCCAGCCCAGTGCCCGGATGTGCAGGCCCTCCCTCGCCGGAGCCACCTTGCAGTCCTTGCCACCTGTTGTCTGCCTTCCCTTTCTGCAGAGACCTCTGCAGCAGCTCCACAAGGTGGGCTTCTGGTGCTGCGAGCCTGTAGGTGGTGGATCCTCAGTATATCCTATGGAACCTGGTACTCACAGTTCAGGAGGAAGTGGACAGCAGGCTGTGGGGAAGTTACACTTTCTCTTACCTGGGAAAGAGTGGAGTCATAAACCTCATTTGCCATTTTATGTTCTGGTGTCTTCCTGCCTCACTCTGTTGTCTTAAAATGCATGGTGCAGCCCTCACACTGTACGCCAAGCTTCAGTGCCTCTTACCTCCGGGCTGCACACTTAGTGTATGTCATTCTCAGTCTGTGTTTGAATTCTTCCTAATTAAACTAAGTGCTCTGTGAACACAATGTTTTCTTTCACTGCTTTTTGCTTCTTGAGTCATAAACAGCTTCCTGGTGTCTGTTCCTTGTTTATCTCCAGTCCAGAATGTATCAGGCCAGACCTACAGGTTTCCTAGAACTGTGCCCTATGCTGTTCTTCTCACCTGGCACCTGCTGACACACTGAGACCAGCTTAAATGTGCTGTGCAATAATGACAGCAGCTTTTCCATTTTAAATCTTCAAAAAACACCAGCCTGTGTTGGAGAGATATTCAGGGGTTATTTGTCAATTGTAATTCAGCCGATCTCACCATAGGTGGCGCTGTTGTTCTGTGTATTCCACATACAAGCCATTAAGTTCTTTCATTTTCTGGCATTTTCTTAGGATTTTCAACTGGAGAGAAAACTAAGTCATTCCCAGCCACCTTGACACTTACTAATGTTTAAGACCTCATTTTTAGTTGACATTTTTAATTTGAGATCACCTCAAAAATTCTGTAGTAACATTATAGACTAATTGTGTAAACAGTGAAAAAACTATGCATACTTATCACTGAAATGTGTCTGGAATGTACTGGAAACACCATATAGGAGAGCCGCCCGCACTTCCCTCTGGAACCCGCATGGAGCTGGGAGGGTAGTGCCAAAGATTTCACTTTGGTACTGTGCGGGATTTTGTCTGATGGCCACATTGCCTTTGTAACAACTAGGAAAAGTAGTCTAGCAATGTGCAGTCGCTGTATGCCCTTTACAAACTTGACGATTTGCTTGTTTGAGTTTCTGGAAGTATTTGAGTATTTTTTGGCAGGTAAAACTACCTTGACACCAAAGCTGAGAAAACAGTCTTATCTTGATGTACGAATGTTGCAGCTGTTTGCCTGACCAGGAGAGACCCACATAAATGCACCTAGGAGCACACACACAGGCACAGTGATCCTGGTGCCTGTTCCGGAGAATGGAGTCCGGGACACCAATTGTGTGGGGACACTCAGGGGTTTTCGGCCCACCTCAGTCCTCCATTCTCTGTGGCCTCTGGAAGTGTGACCCCAGGACCTGTGGGCATCTCTCTGTGGCCCTGGCAGGTAGTCTTGGGCTCTGGTGGGTCTAGGCTCTTTCAGGAACATCACAGAGCCTCCACTGGAGCCTTCACAAACAGGAAGTGCCCACTGACTAACTCCTGAGTGGGAAAGTGGCCATAAGAAATCATTATTTTCTTTGTTTTGAGCCCATATAAAAGGAAAATTTTTAATGCTGCTTTGTAAAAGCTTAAAGATGTTTTTCATCTTCAAGATTAAATTTAAAGTAAGCAAATTATGGCAAAGTATAAATATTGTAGCACTTATCAAAATGAAGTAGTTAAAGCCGGAGAGTGTCCCTGATTTGTATTTATTAGTGCCAAGAAAACAAAGCCTCAGACCTTGCAAGAGTGGTGATGTCAGGTCACCCGTGGTCGCAGGCTCCACAGGCCCTGTCACTTCACTGCCACACAACTCTGCACATGCAGCAGCAGAAGCAGGACACTGGGGGTGGCCGCTGTTCCTGGTCTTTGCCCAGACAGGCATAAATTGTGCACATTTATTTCCAGGGAGTGCTCCCTATGTGCACAGCACTGTGATGCAATTGAGCATAGGTGCTCCTCTGTTCCTGCGTGCAGAGCACACTTTGGCCCTTTCACATTACCGGAGCACCCTTGTTCCCAGAAGCGTTTGTCTGAGGGCGCCTGCTTGGGCTGTGCTCGCCCTCGATTCCCAAGTGGGGGCATCTCACAGGCAAGGTCTTCGGTGCAGGGTTTGTGCTTCTGAGCTGAAAGCTTAGGACAGAGCAGCATTTGTCTTAGTGTGTGAATTTTCTGTATGGCCAATTAAAACGTCTGACTAAGCCCTTTTTATGGTATTTACTCCCTGGCCTGGTACGACCCATGCGTGTCTTGTCTTTCAGGGTTCAGGATAAGTGGCAAGTGCTGAATTACACAAGTATCCCTGTCTATCTCTCAGAAATCACAATTGGAGCTCACCAGAGTGACCGGCTCTACCGCAAATTCAGAGAGGTAAGACCTACATGTGGGGAGATGTCCAGGCGTGACACGGGCCACTGCCCTGGTGCGGGGGGCAGACCAGCTGTTTCCCCGGGTCTCTGCAGGAAGCAGGTGGGGCCCACATTCTTCCCAAGGTGTTGCAGTGGTTCTGGTTGTGCTCACAACTGTTCTTTGCTGGGCTCCATTTCTTTACTGCCATGTTCTACTTCTGGTTCCTCTTACTCTCACTCTTCTCAATCCCTCGGCCAGCTGTAAAGGCCTGTATTTCTACAGAGTCCTTCGACTGGGAGTGCAGAGGGAGGATGGGCATGGCTGGGAACAGACAGTGGGAAGAGGTGCTGGCCAGGGCTGCCTCCTTGTCCTCTTCTGATCCCCACCTTCTTACGGAATCCTTCGTCCTCTGGGTGGAGAGTGTTTTCCAGCCAGGCTTCCTCAAGCGGGGGAGCCGTGGCCTGCGCTGAGCACCCCCGAGGCTGTGCACTAGCATGGGTCGTTTCCAGTCTGCCGTGGCTGTGTTTGCTGCTGGCAAACGTGTGAATGATCGTGCTGTGGTCCACGCTCCCTGCTGTGCAGTGAACGCGTGTGTCCTGCAGAGAGCTCTCCACAGTCTGCTGTGAGAGGACCTGCCAGGTGCCCACGGCACCCATCAATGTCTGTTGCTTCCTGCTTTACTCGAGGACTGTGGTGGTTTTTCCACTGCAGACCTGGGGGTGGGGCACAGCTATACAGACCTCGCCAGGCACCGTCATGGTCATCGGTGCGTGTTGCTGTCCTACGCCTTGGCTGTGTTGCTTCTCCCTCCGGCTGGGCCGTGCAGGTGTGCAGCTTCCCCTCGCCTCCCGGGCCCTGCCCCTCGCAGAAGCAGCCATGCTGCGTGCAGACCCTCCATGGCCGCACCCAGGCCCTGTGCCACCAGAAGTCCTGGTAGTCCCACTTTGCTTATGTTTTGAGGCTCGAGCTTTTATCCTTTTGTTTGTATGACATTTTCTCCCTTTTATTTAGTAATGCTTTTTACTTTGCAACGTCATTCAGTATGTATGTAGTATATAACATTTTTTTTTGGTGAGTATATGCAAAGTAGCTTTTTCTGTGTCTTTTAACTTCAGCCTATCTTTATACTTGTCTGTCTTTATGTGTGGTTCAGGTTAGCCTTGAACTCACTGTGGAGCCCAGGCTGGCCTTGAATGCAAAGTAACCCTCCTGTCTCAGCCTCCCAGGTTCTAAGATTACAGGCGTATACCACCATGCCTGGCTATATTTGTATTTAATGTGAATGCCTTATAAACTGGGGATATTTTTAAAGAATATTTGCCAGTTTGGTTGTCTGGAATATTTACATATTTGCATTTATTGCAGCCCTTGACAGATTTGTTTGGAAATACCCTATGGCACTACTTATATTTTTTCTGCCTGTTCTATGTGTTATTTTTCCTTTCTTGTTTGTTTTTGTTTGGATTTTTTTTTTCAATTTCATTTGCACCCCCCTCCCATTTGTTTGCTAGTCCTTACCCTGGTAATTAAAATCTTCATCTGTAATTCGCTGAAGCCTCAATTGGTAGTTTTCCAGTTCCAGAGCAGTGTGAAGATTGCAGAGTACTGCTAACTCCATTTGCCTGGCCCTTGTCCTTTGTGCTGTCCTGGTAAAGTGCCTCGATCCCATGCATTTGAAGCTCTGTGGGACATGGGCACCGAGCTGTACAGTTGGTGGGTGCAGCTGGGTCCATGCTGCATCCACCCTGATGCAGCCCACATCTTCCTGAGGCTTCGGTTTAGGGGCCTTGGTCTTCTGCTTGAAGAATTCTTTGTGGGCAACAAATTCTCACACTTATATTAAATAGTCTGTCTTCATTTTTCCTGCTTTTTATTTAGGAATATTTCAAACTTTTAAAATAATGACAGGAACCATTCAACAGGAAGTTAGCACCGTGATGCCCACCCGTCTTCAAACTCCACTGGAGCTGGTCCCAGCGTGCGGTCCCTGTGCCGCCCCTCCAAGGTGTTCTGGGAACCTAGTCCAGGCCCCAGGGCTGGGCCCAGGAGATGTTTAGATAGAGTCTGCCAGGCAGAGTGAGGCCCACTGCAGTTGGAGACCCTCCACTTGAGTGTGTCATCCTTACCACCCCACTGTGTAGCTGTCACAGTCAGAAATGAGCATTTGCACACATTGCTGCTGCCTGGCCTCCTGGACCCTATGCCACGGACCAGCTTGTGACCCCAGTGATGTGGCTGTGTTCGGGATGTTGTCCCTTTCGTCTTGGCATCCAGATTAGTCCTTGAACTTGCTTAGATTTTCAAGACCTTGACACCTTGGAGGATTACAGGACAGTGATTCTACTGCGTGTCTCTTAGTTTGGTCATGTAGGCGTCTTGTCTGTGGTGGTGGTGGGGGCTCTCTGCTTCTCACCAGGTACTCTATGACTCCCATTTGCCCCGGCACTGCTTCTGTCACTTGGTTGCTTGATTAAGATGGTATCTTTGTAATAAAGGTACTTCCTCACTTTTCCTAAGTACTAAGCAGTGGGGGAGATACCTTGAGACCATGTAAAAGTGTTCTCATCACGTTTGCTCTCAACAGTTTTAGCATGTATTGATTTTCTTAACTACATCAGTTATTGCTGTGATGTTTGCCAAACTGTAATTCTTTTATTTCTACCATCCCTTCACATCATTAGTTTGTGCCCTGCACTGGCATTTTCCCCTTCCCTCCCTTTATTTGTTCATTTATGTGTTTGTGTCACTGTAGATGTTGAATTCTGTGTATTCACACACATCTGTATTTATTTCTGTCCCTCTTTGTTGAAAAGCTGAAGTTCACCCTGCTGTCTGTGGTCCTGTGTCACACTATAGGCTTCATGCTAGGATCTGTTCTGTGTCCATCATGGAGCGTGGGTGATCTGCCTCTTGCCTCGGTATATTTCCTTCAATTAGTCCCTGTATGTGGGGGCAGCCTGCTGTTGGCTGCCACCATTGACCTGCCTCAGGGAGGCCCCCTCCGTCCCCAAGGAGACCTGAGCCCTACAAAGCCCTGAAGAATGGCTCTGGACCAAATTCTTAGAGAATACTTGCACTCAGTATAGAATTTTAAATTGCCAATTTTCCTTGTAACATTCATAAACTTCAGTATTTTGTGCTTCTGGCTTTCATGTTTCTGGTGAATAGGTTGCTGTCCTCTTAGGAAGATAATGTGTCTTATTTCTCTGGCAGGGCTCATTTTCTTTTTCAAGAGGTTTTCTGACTTGGTTTTTAGCGCAGTCCAGTGTGGTGATGACAAACCTTGTAGAAACAAGTGCCCAGACTGCTACCCAGAACCCACATACTTACCACACAGTGCCAACACTGCAGTTAAGCCTGGATGCTGAGGTTTTGGTTTAACATCTTTCTATAGAAGAGCGCAATAACATGCATCCCATAGGTTCACCACCACTACTCTAGCGTGTCTGTGCTCTTGAGTGTGCAGGTACACCTGCACGTAGTCTGCCCAGCTCACACTGCACCTGTGGAGTGATCTTCAGAGTTGTGTCTCTCTGCCCTTCTCTGTCTGCTGCTGCTCAGGCTTCAGTCATTTGTACGCTGGTCCTTCTTACCATGTCCCTCCCGTCCCCTGGCCTTCTCATCTGGTTCCTTCTGTGCCCTGAGATCTTTTCTGTATTTTCCACAGTCTTCTCCTTTGTCTGGGTCTCCTACTCATTTTGGTTGTGGTCAATCAGTCATGGTATGCTTCCTAGTTGGTTTTTTGTTCTTTTGTTGTGGTTCTTCTCTTGTGACAGCCATTTTTTCGGAACGTAAAGGTAGCTGGAGGCCTTGGCAAGCATTCCTTACTCCTGTGTTATACCGTCGTGGCAGGTGCTGCAGTGCAGACAGATCCCCTGAATCTATTCAGAGACTGCACGACTGCCTGAGCCTACATGTTGTGAGGTCTGATGATTTCCAGCTTGCCCTTCCAAAGAGACCACCTTTAACAGGTCTCTTCTTTCTGCTTTGAATGGTATCCCACAGTACTTTGCTGCTTGAAGCTCTGCCCAGTGTCTTGCTCTTTGCTACTGCTGCTGCTGCTAAAGGGGCAAGAGAGGGCTTGGGAGGAGGGGCCACGGTCCTTGGCACACCTGTGCTTGCCGCTGTGTCCCTGCCAGGTGCCTTTTGCAGGCCCTTGCTGTCTGTGCTCTCCACATCTTGGTAATTCAGGAGGGGAGAGTGGGTGTGCACGGCTGGTCTTCAGGAGCTAGGCGCCTTAGCTGCTGTCACCAGCTCCATCTGTGAGAGATCAACCCAGTACCTTTTCATTATTATTGTATTGTGTGTAGCTTATCTACCCTTTAATTTGTGAGCATTTAGGAGAAACTATGGTATTGGGCTTGTGGTTTTTATTATGGATAAATATTTAGAAATGTTAAAATTTTAATCAGTAGATGATTGCGGAAATCTAATTTTTGAAGTTTTTGGAAATGGAAAGGAACTTCAATTTTTAGAACAGTTTTAGAAGATGCTGAGGGTAGTAGAGAGTTCTCATATACCATACATCTGGTCTTCCATAAAAGCCGTGGCTTCCCATAAATCATAGCAATGAAGTCACCCAGTTTCCCTCTGGAGGGCCCTGTGGGGCAGGATGCTCGTGTGGAGCTCTGCTGTGCACCACACACGTCTGTGGGCAGGTTCATGGCTTAGTGCAGCAGGCCTGGCCAGCAGCAGGGCTCACTTCCAGCTGTGCTTCTGTGGCAGCAGCCCTCCTCCTTCCTGGGCCCATGCTGCCCCTGTTGCAGCGCCACTTGACGACTGGTCTCACAGCAGCCCTTGGTGGACAAGCGGGTGCCCATGTTCCCTGCTTGAAGGCCTCCCTCTTCATCTCTCCGCAGCCTGTCCCTGTGAGCAAGAGAAGGCAACTTCTTTACATGGCCTTTCAGATAGAGCAGAGCATGGGTGTTTGTCCCCATAGCCTCGCCTTAGAGGCCACAAGGAAAGGACTGGCTGTTGAGTTGCTTGTAGTTGGGTCACAGTTGTGAGGGTTAGTGGAATCA